ACAACTGAATTAATTAATCGCAGAGAGTCAGGCGAATTTTAAAAATTTTTCGGCTAAATTGCTCCATAACTATAACATCGTTCCATTACGAGTCGCATTTACGATTAACGTATTGACTATGCTTATTCGACCATTTACGAAGGATCTTCGTAGATATTTGGAAAGATACACAGAATGTAATAAAATTATTAAATTGTTATACAATACAAATATAATTATATTATATATATTATATTTATATTATATAAATTTATATTATATATAATTATATTATATATATTATATTATATAATACAAAAATTATTTAGAATGTAAAACTTTAAAGCATTCTATACAAAACTGAGATTGGTACAGGACAAAAAGTTGTTGTTTGCTACATGACTTATTAACTTTTCCATTTTTCAACATTGGAACAAATTGGAGCAGAAATTTCAACAGTTGTGCCATTCGTTGCTCGGCAAATATTCGAACTGTTTATATGGAGTGGCAAGAACCTTAGCAATGATGCAGCAGATTATTCTTGCGACTGTCAGCGACTCGTTAAGACATAACTCTTCCATTTTCGACATTGAAACGAATTAAGACAGAAATTTTAATATTTGCTTGACAAATATTCGAATTGTTTATATGAAGTGGCAAGGACCTTAGCAATGATGCGGCAGATTATTCTTGCGACTGTCAGCGACTCGTTAACACATAACTCTTCCATTTTCGACATTGAAACGAATTAAGACAGAAATTTTAATAGTTGCTCGGCAAATATTCGAATTGTTTATATGAAGTGGCAAGGACCTTAGCAATGTAACGAATGATGCGACAGATTATTCTTACAATCACTAACGATTCGTTAAGACATAACTCTTCCATTTTCGACATTGAAACGAATTAAGACAGAAATTTTAATAGTTGCTCGGCAAATATTCGAACTGTTTATATGGCAAGGACCTTAGCAATGATGCGGCAGATTATTCTTGCGACTGTCAGCGACTCGTTAAGACATAACTCTTCCATTTTCGACATTGGAACGAATTAAGGCAGAAATTTTAATAGTTGTGCCACTCGTTGCTCGGCAAACATTCGAATTGTTTATATGTAATGGCAAGGACCTTAGCAATAATGCGACAGATTATTCTACCAATAACTCGCATTATCAAAATATCGGTGTCAAAACACAGCGGCGCGCGTGGCCTGAAGGAGATTTCGTTGGAAACACGGCGCGTCAGTCGACGCGTTAAGACGATCAAGCAATTGTTTATTATTTATTCGACGTATTCGACGATTAATTGTCCGACATTGTTGGCGCGCGTCTATTTAGAAAGCGCGTCGACGCGAGTCCCCCTCTCGACAAGTGAGACGCGTTACCGAGCAACACGCAACGAGGAGTTATGGCTCATTTAACCCCAGTGGTAGGGAGAGGGAGGTGAAGGGGCTTCGAATGCGAAGGTATACGGTTAAAATATAAAGCTGGAAGATATAAAACGCGCCTCTTCCGCGGCGAGTGTAATCTTTCGTCGCTCCTCTACTTTGTCTTCCCGGATATTATTAATAACACGTGCTATAAACGCGTCACGTGTGGGCTACCAATCATACGCGTACATTTTTAACAAAAATAAAAATTGTTGAAGATTGATAAAGGAAAAATTCGATTGCATTACGATATCATGATGGAACGAAATAAGGGAGGAAATTTGGATAAATGATTCGGATGAAATGATTGGAAAATTCGATTTGAACGATACCGAGAATTTTCGACATGAAAGAAGAATACGATATGTTATGGTTACACGATGTCCCGTTTTATAATTAGTTCACGGTCAATTTCTACTAAATTCCTCGCTAAAGTCGTTGTGTCTTTATTGGGGTTGGTTAAGTGGGTTAAGCGTGTAATTATTCATCAAAGAAAATTAGGGAATGCGATAATAATCTGTATTTGCAGGTTTAAAACGAGGCCTTTGCCTCGTACGTAGAGCGAAACGCGTTGGAAGGAATTTTGCATATTACTTTGTTTCATAAGTAATAAGGATAACGGAAGTGGAGCAATGTGGATCGGATAACAAGCGTTGGTTACAGAGCAGCTGTTCGAGTTGCTCACGTCTCTCTTAAATTACTTCGTCCTAAATAGTTTATTGGCGTTTTGGCCAGGGCTCAACTTCGCGCAAAGATTACAACCTATGTTTACTCCTGTGTGTACAGGCCACGCCACAGGGATTTGTGATCGTGCCCCGCAATTAACGACGTGTCGTCTACGTGATCAATTTGCTCATCGCCGTCGAAATCGACGAAGCGAACGAGTTTGGTGCTCGACCAAAAAACGAATCTGTTTTGGACTCGCGGTTGAAATGATCGAGAGAATGCTTCAGAAATGCGACTCGACGATTCAATTCGAGAAATTGGAATGGAATTTTTCATTCTTCGTACGGGGAAGTAAATTTAACGACGTCTGTCTTTTCTGAAATATATATAGTTCGAGTTGTTACTTTTTTTTCAAATTGTAAAACGAAATTTTTACGATTCTTTTGTTCATCTCCGTGTTACTTTTACTAAACCAGTGATGCTCGTTCGTGAAATTAATTAAAAGAGTAGTAAAAGCATAAAGACTTGCTATAAAGATTTATTCATCCACTCGTTTAACACTGGTGTTATACCTCATACGCTTTTCATAACTTCGATTTCTCTTTTTTACAAATTTTAGAAAGCGATCCAAAAGTTTCTATTTTAATGACGTAGTTGAAAAGCGTATTGAAAAGTAAACGAACGTATAAAGGTGGCAGTCTGTGAAATAAAAAAATGTTTTTGATCAGAATTAACGACAAACGTGAAACGTTTGTTAACTTCTTCTTTTGCCTAGAGATCCTCTTTACAGAAAGAAATGTATTTTCCTTTGAAACATACGAGTTACACGTTATACGTTATAATTGGATAAAACTCGTTTACGCAACTGATATAAAACAATACAGTGTCGTTCGATTGTTAGATACGTAACAATGTGCAAATCGGTGCATCAAAAACGTTCAAAGTTACGATTATTTCAAAAAATTTACAAATAGAACACGAATTTCGAGCTCGGTATATTTTACGTATAAAAACTGCGTCCAGACAATGATTTTTCCCTGTTTTTTTTTTATCATTCGTACAAATTTCCTTGTTTAATTGATATGGATGAAAGAATAACTCTGATAAAGAATAATTAATCGTTACCGCGCTATAAATTTCTACGTTCAACGTCATACATATATATATCTCCACGATTTCGAAAAAAAAAAAATAATCCAAAGCGCTCGGAAAGTATTGCAAAAACACCGAAATACAATATTTAAAAAATAAAAAAAAAGAAAAAAAGAGAAGAATAACGCTCCTCTGAAAGTTAGTAAATCAAAACTATTTGAGAAAGCAAGAGTGCGCCGTTATATATTTCAGTGATGTAACAATGTCATAAAATATCGATAGTCTGGTCGTGTTTCTGCTCTGCTTATACGTAAAATATAGCAGTTCGATCAATATGATGTCCGGGCTACGAGATACGCAACTTAATGCCATTTTCTCAAATCCCTCTCTCTCTCTCTCTCTCTCTCTCTCTCTCTCTCTCTCTCTCCGAAGAATTTATCGTTCGTGTCGTGGGAAACGCGATCGATAAAGAGATTGAAAATCCGGCAGGTTAATTTCCTCGTACACGCGAGTGTGAAAATTAAATTTTCATCCTCGACAAGTTTCTTTCGAATCGTTCGAAATTGCGAGAAATAAATACGTCGCAAAGAAGGAAGGGGAAAAAAGGAAAAATAGCTTAGCCATTCGGCGAAAGCATCGAATAATTTAACCGAAACGAGAGAAATGGCTGGTGGTACGCCTTCCCTCCACTACACGGTGAATAATAACGCAGGTAGGAAATTCAACGCTGTGAAATCCGCCGGTTTAACAGAAAATGGAGACAGCACTGTACGCATAGCCGGCGGTGATAGGCGCGTTTCGACCGCGCCCGATTTCCTACTCGAGGCACGGCTGTTCCAAATAAATCACGGAACAGGCTTTGGTACAGATACGCACGGAAGGAGAGCTATCGCGAGCACGGATGTGATTTCGAAAATAAAAAGACGGATGACGAAGCGGAAGCATAAAGACGGAAACGCGGAATATCGTTTGTTTGAAAAAAAAAAAAAATAACGACACTCCTTTTTTTTCCCCTCTCTTTTCTCCCTACTTTTTTTTTTTTTTTGGTATTGTTCAGAGATCGTTCGACGCGTGTCTGTACACTCGAAGCGAAAACAATTTTATCTTCTCATTTCCGATAGGTGTTTTTTTATTTTTTCGAGAATCCGTGGAGGAATTGTAGATTCCTATGTTGATGGAATGGATATTGTCGAGGTAGTAGTAGTAGAGCAAGTGATGATGAGGTACGAGTAAATCATGGTTAATCGAGTAATGTAATCAGAGTGAGAGGAGTAGCGTGGGTCAATCAGGATCGGACGAACATGTATGCACGCGAGAAGTGGATAAGTAGTATAAACGCGTTATAGTCGGACAAGTAGAAAAGCCACTCGTGATTCAGAGAGGAAATTATTATATAAAATAAATGTTATACGAGTTATATATTTTAAATAAGGTTGTCGTTTATAATTTAACTTTTTAATTAATTAAGAAATTTTAATTAATTATTTCTTTTTTTTTTTTTTTTTTGGAAATATCGAACTTTGACCAGATAACCAGAAAACAAGTTAATGGTCGACAAACAAGACGAGTAATATAAATCAGTTATGTATACTCGAACAAATAATCGAATCTCTTTCCTTCTTAAAGATTTATGATAATTTGAATCCACCTCTTTGATAATACTTGTGCCATTTACCCGTTTATTCGCATGAACGGAGAGCTCGATGAATCGTTCGATCGATAATTCGACTACGAAACGAACGGATCCCCCAATCCATAGAACAAGGGAGGCTAATCCGAATCGGCACGATTGGCGGTGAGTTTTAATCTTCACAGTTGGTTCATTCATTTTTCAGGTAAACGGGTCGTGGAGCTTGCCCGGCTTTGTCTGTGACTTTTACATCGCAATGGACGTCACGTGCAGCACCAGTTCCATCTTCAATCTCGTAGCAATCTCTATAGACAGGTGAGCGTCCACCATTTTCAAAAAAAAAAAAAAAAAAAAGGGAAAGGGAAGAGAGGCGATCCCTGATCCCTTTCTTCGAAATCCATTCACAACGTTTTGTCAATCGTTTTAACCTTCCCTTAAAATAAAACCTTGCCTTATCCGTGCAACTGGAGAAGTCAAAAGAGACACACGGATTCGTGGGTCGAGCCGAGATTTAAGAACGTTTTCTCGACGTCGATTGAAAGTGATGGACAGAGGAGGGGGCGTAATAAACGTAATTCGAAGCTCTTCTGCGAAAATAAAATACAACTAAGCCGCCCGTATTGCATTTGTTTTGCACGATTGCGGGAAAATTACGTAGCCGGGATTGTCGAGAAAGCGGCGAAAATCTTGAAAAAGGATGGAGCTTGATTTAACCGGTTTACGTGACACGAATAATTCGGACGAAACTCGGAGAGAAAAGGACCAGAGTTTGCTCTGTGAAACGACCTAGAGTTGAAAGGGACGTCTGCTATTTCTGTAAATCAAGTTTCGTCAAGGTTTCGAAATAACTATCGTCGAAAGGGAGGTCGATCAGTTTCGTAGTTTCTTTTTCTTTTTTTTTTTTTTTTTTTTTTTCAAATTTACGAAACCTATCGTTTGTTTTTCCGAAACGAAACGTGGCTGGAATAAAATCAATAGACTAACATACGAGCAATTTATAGAATTTATTCGATATCAAAAACGCGAATCAGTTTTTTTCTGTTTTCTTCTTCTTCTTCTTCTTCTTCTTCTTCTTCTTCTTTTTGTTGTCCCTTTGGAACTGTTTATCAAAAACCATCTCATAAATTCCTATCGATATTAGATTGAAAATAAGACGCGCATTCATCCGCGAATGATACAGTCGAATGATTAATACCGAGTTTTTCACATTTGCATGTTAAAATATTCGTGTCGCGATGCGGAAAAATGGGTGCACTTTATTAAAAATCCTGCCGCGATTCTCCCTTAAAGTTGGAGAATCTAAATCCGTCCCTTGTCATCCGTCTTCCAGAAATCCTCAAGAACAAGCACCAGTAATTTAACTTAATTAATCATGATTTTCTTTCCGCTTCTCGATTCGATGTGATTAATTTCGTCTCGTCGCAAGATGGCGTGAGCAATTAGGGGGGAGAGGGGGTTAGACAATCTTGATCGATCGGAATAAATCGGAATTTTCTTCTCTCTCCCGTGAAATTAACTTGAGAAACACGATTTCGAGATACAATTTCATTGGAAAACTAAAGTTAAAACTACCAATTATTTCGATCGAATTGAATTCTAAATTTCTATATTTTCTGGATACAACAAAACAACACTGTTACATCCTTTTATCCAATTTTCACACACACACATCGAAGCAAATATAAAATTTTTTCCAATATCTCAATTTCTTAAATTCATTCACTTTAATTAAAAATATTATCGAATCGCGATAACTTCCGATCCTTGCCCTCTCTTAAAAAAAATTTATTCCCCAAAATTGAAAATTTTCCAAAAAAAAAAAAAAAAAAAAAAATACTTCTCTTCTCAGAAAAACAGGGAAAACAGACTTACCATTACGAAATCCTCATCGATCAGGCTAGAAAATAATAAATTGAACAAGCCCCGTTCGTGGGAAAGGGGAAGGAGGGGAGGGGAGGGGAGTTAGCAAGGTGTTAGTGGATCCATCGTCGATTTGCGGTAACGTAATGCCCATCAAGCGAGGAAGGGAGGATGGGAGAGGGGGGGGGGGTAGGGGGACAGTGTACGATACGCGGGATGAATTTGAATTGCAGATACATAGCAGTGACCCAGCCGATAAAATACGCCAAGCACAAGAACAATAGAAGAGTGTGGTTGACGATACTGTTGGTCTGGGCGATATCTGCCGCGATCGGCAGCCCGATTGTTCTCGGCTTGAATAACACCCCCGACCGGACACCGGACCAATGCCTCTTCTACAATACAGACTTTATCATATACTCGAGCCTATCCAGCTTCTACATACCTTGCATCATCATGGTGTTTCTCTACTACAACATATTCAAGGTAAGAATCCTCCTTCTCGCCCGTTTCGAATACAGAGAGAGAACGAGAGAGAATTTGTTTCTTCGGGATGGAATAGAATAGAAGAGATTCTCGATTCCGTTTTCAATTTTTTAATGAATTTTTTTTATAGCGTTTACGTTTAAAAATTAAGAAGTCAAGAGTAAGTTTTTCTTGCAATTTTTCTTAAGTCGTGTGTGGAGGAAAAGGGATATCGAGAAAAAGGATATTTAAATAATTTTTCTTTTATAGCGTTGACATTTAAAAATTAACGGTTAAGAATAAATTTTTCTTACAATTTTTCTTAAGGCGTACGTGGAGGAAAGAAGATATCGAGAAAAGAGAAGAAATGAATCATCGATACTGAGTGTTAATAACTTTTCCTTTATAGCATTTAAAATTGGCATTTAAAATTAACGGTTAAGAATAAATTTTTCTTGCAATTTTTCTTAAGTCGTGGAGAAAAGGAGGTATCGAGAAAAGAGAAGAAACAAATCATCGATATCCTAGTGTTAATAACTTCTTTTATATAATATTTACATTTAAACATTAACGGTTAAGAATAAGAATTTTTTCTTACAATTTTTCTTAAGTCGTGCGTGGAGGAAAGGAGATATCGAGAAAAGAGAAGGAACGAATCATCGATATCGAGTTAATAACTTTTCTTTTATAGCGTTGACATTTAAAAATTAACTTTAATTAAGAATAAATTTTTCTTACAATTTTTCTTAAATCGTGGGTGGAGGAAAGGGGATATCGAGAAAAGAGAAGGAACGAAATCGTGGGTAAATGAATCGGAAAAACAAGTAAATACGAGAAACGATGGATGGAGAAATAAGTGAATGTGATTTATAAAGGGGGATATAAATGAAGATATTGATCGGTTTATTTGCTCGATTAACCGTGACTTATAATTTCATCGTAGCAAGTAAAATTCGACCGAATTACGTAGATATAATTTTAACGCCATATGGAGCAAAGTGTTCCGCAGATATGTTGGCTTTTGCGATTACGTTGCGGTTAATCATAAATACGGTTGCTTCGCTATTCTACATTGGCCGGAATACATAAACAATTTTGTTTGCATGGTTGCTTTCATTCGTTATGATATTAATTTCCGATGACGCGAAATATCGCTATAATAATTACGTGAAACGGAGTTCAAATAGGGAGGGTATTAACAATCGTTGCGCCCGTTTGCGCGTACAGATTGAAAAGATACGAAATTACCCAGATTTTGTATCTTCGTTTATAAAGACGTATATATTTATTAGGCCCGATTCAGAACCTCGATTCGATTGTCTGTTTGTTTTGATCGTTTTCCATAAATATCGTGCGAAGGTACCTTTTGTCGACAATAATAGATTCGTAATATCCGACTAATAATACTCGAATAACGTATCATATCCGTCTCTCCGTAAGAGACAATCTTTATTCGTTTAAAATTGATCGAAAAATTTTCCAAGAAAAAATTATATTATGCATTTAATTCTAGAAAAAAGAAAAAAAAGAAAAACAAAGAAAAAAAAATGTTTCAACAGGCGTCGATATTTTTCAATACAATAAAGTGATAAAGTGATAAAAGATATATTACGGGTATATCACGGAAAAAAATTTTTTTTTCGTCACCGATTTTTCCCGATTTCTCTCGAGACGATCATTTCACAATTTGCCATTTCCAGGCGCTGCGAAACAGAGCGAGGAAAGCGAGGGCCAATAGGAAGCCTAATTTGGGCGACATTAAGCCGGGCAGCATAATAGAGAACATAGCGCACACTCGCAGGTGAGCCGACATTTTATACACTTTGTTAATTCTTTAAAAATTCTTTAAAAACAGATTACCAAAAATTTTTTAAGAAATTTTTCATTCGAATCGACGCCAAGAAGGTCGAGGAAGAAAGTGAAGAAAGTAGATTAGAAATTAGTTAGAAGGAAAAGCATAGCTATTATATAATGCGAGATGAATTTTCGATTAATGTAATAATAGAGATAAAAAGTAATTAATTTGTTGAAATTTTTTGATTTCGTTCGAAGAGAATGGAGGAATCAAAGCTGATACTTCGTTGATAATAATGCCGGGGGAACGGCATGTTTGTATTTATCACTTGCATGTGTCACTCTGTTGCATGTCTGTGTAGAGATAAGCATCGTGATTGTTAATAGCGTGATTCCGTAATATAATTCATTTGCTTCCACTACGCAAACACTTCCTTATCAATCGAAAGTTTCAATAATGAACACAAACGACCTTTGTCCATTCATTTCAATCGAATTCTCAGATAAATTATCGCAAAGAATTTGCACACAACGAATATCATTATTATTATTACAGAAAATTCAAATTTATCGAACAAGGATCTTAAAATATAATTAAAATGAATTATAAAGAAAAAAAAAATTTATAATATTAAAATTTATATATTAAAATTTTTTTTCTTATTTATAATATTAAAATTTATAAATTAAAATTTATAATATTATGTCTATCCTCCTCTGAAGAAGGCAAAAATCGACAAAGGCCGTATTTCCAATTCGTTAAATGTCTCCTTCAGAACAGAAAGAAATTCTTCGTCCTTCGAAAGACGAGAGGGGAGGGGAGGGGTACATCGATCGAACATCCCCGATATCTCTTTATTATGCTCGACGAACGACAAAACGTACGTCTACATCGTCAACATCTCGATAGATGTACACAGTTCAGTTTCTCTGATCAGAGATCACTCACAGGTTTCTCGTACTCAGACGAATCGATATCCAATCTCTCCGAACGCGATTTCTCGCTTCTCACAGATCAAAGAGGTGCTGGCTGTTTAAACATAGGATGAATATAAATTCATTGGGGAGAGGGTGGGGGGAGGGGGGATTCGCGGACAAAGACGAACCACCCTTTATTCCGAATGTGTCGCGTGCTCCTTCATCGAGTCATTTTTTTCAATTTTCTCTCGCGCGCCTCTCGCATTCCAACGAGACGATTTCGAAAAGAGATTGACGCCTTCCCCTCACCCCCTTCCAAGAATATACCGCTGAAAGAGGAGAGTGGGGAGGAGAAGAGGAGAGAGAGAGAGAGAGCGAGAAAAGAATATAGAAAAACAAGAAGAGGATGGAGGAGAGGAGAAAGGAGAACGTGAGAAGATATTCAAGCCTGGAGCATCTCTATATAATATCTTCATTTCCGTTTGTGTCGGTGTACTTGTCTTGAATAGCCAACAACTTTTCTTTAATTGCCGGCTTTTGTACCCCCTCCCTCGAGTGTCGATGACCCCATCCGTTCATCGATGACAAGAATGAACCGATGCAGAAGGAAGAACCGATTTCTCGTCCCCTGATTGAAAGGAGCGCAGTCTCGGTTGTTTGTCGGTTTCAAGATGATTTGATACCACTGCTACCAATTTCTTCTTTCTCTTTCTCTCCTTCCTCCCCCGGAAGAGAGAGAGAGAAAGGGAGAGAGATGACTCTCGGAAGGTGAGATTTCATCTAGGCGGCGAAAGGTTTGGGGATTCGATCTCTTTCGATCTCTCTACACCTCCTCCTCCCTTCGATCTTTTACACTTTTTCACGCTTCTTCGAGGATATTATTACTATTATTATTATTATTATTATTGTTATTATTATTATTGTTATTATTATTATGGATGGCTAGACGTCGATTGCTCGCGTCAGGGCGGAACGTTGGTATGAAAAGGATTTTCAAGTGGATCGTTTCGAATCGATTGGATTGGAAAAGAGAGAGAGATTCGAGCGTTGTACGTGGGATAGGGGTGTATGCGTGAGTGCGTGTGTAGAAATGCAATTAGGCGCGCGGATGCACGGGTAATTTGTATAGTATTAACTGTACCCTTTCGCTCGCCCTGATTATTATTTATAGGTCACTTCCTACGGTTACGTGTTACGAGCATTATCGATAAATTAGACTTAGATGTTTATGGGAACGGTCACATTTTGGCTGCAACGCTCGTCTTTTCCCTTGGGTCCCGTGTATTTAACATAATCTCGGCCCTGCGTCCAAAATTTCCGTGAAATTCAAGCCTCTTCTTCAAGCTTCCGCTCTCCTATTCATACACGTGGAATCCGCATTGATGTTATCGGTGTTCCTTTGAACCTTTGGTATATAACAGGGGAATACAATTTTTTTACGGTTCGAAACGCTTCGTTTTGTTCTTTTTTTTTTTTTTTTTCTGAGAAAATCGAATTTGAAATTAATTGGAAGTCGTAAACGTGCACTTTACGGAAAACGTTTTACAATAATTATCTGGAAATTTTAAAACGAAAGAATTTTATCCGTTTTCTGTATCAAATTCATCTCTGTACGTAGAATCTTCCTGACCTGACCTGACCTGACCCGAGATAACTCGTATGACGCTGATACTCCAATCTACGCACATTCAATCACATCGATTTATCTGTATTTCAGATTGTTGTTAAAACGTCGATTCCGTTGTATTTAAGATTAATCAAAGGATATTAACGGAGATTTTTCAATTCTTTTCGTCGGGGTGGAGAAATTTCAGAATCGTTAATTACTTTCGAGAGATCGAATGTATGATCGAAATCGTAATCGGTCACGAAAAGCGAAAGTGAAATGACCGAGTAAATGACGCAAAGTTTGAGGAACTATCGTTTAGATTGAACTCTGAATACTAAGTCATTTGCCGATTGCCAACCTGTAACGTAATCGGATCCCCGATAATCCGATTATTCGGAATAGACCGGTTTCCAATGTCCATATTATTCACGCACAAAATTACTCAACCCTACCCTTCGATCATCGACTAATGCCGATTAATTAAAAAGACACTCTCAATGATCAATTTTCAAAAACTATAATCGAGGCGGTGAACAAAAAGTCGAATCTCATCCCTCTTTTTCGATATATTATATTAACTCTTCGAATTAATCGATCGAAACTGGACATTTCGTTTGAAATGTCAAAGGTTACATTATTCGGAATATTACGATCATTCGTAAACTCGTTCAAATTATTCACGCACAATAATCTCGAAAAAATACCGATAAATCTAAAAAAATTTACCACAAGATTTTTTACTTTATTATTACCACAAGATGATAAAAAAAGAAACGATAAAAATATCCTATCGAAAAGTAAGTCTAAATTGCTCTTTTTCGATATAATTGGCCTCCATTCCATCGATGGAAAGCGAGCCAATTGAAATATCAAATGTTCCGAGAGCAGCTCTTCTCTACCTTTTCTTTTTTTTCTTCTCTCACTTTTCTTCCCCCTCCCTTCTTCTCGGAGAAGAATTACTTTCATTTTAGCGAGGGCACCCGAGGATCACTCTGAATCGCGAAGGATACATTCAACGAAGTAAAAGCCCAAGTTCTTTGTTCGTGGCAAAGTTCGGAACGAGAGTAGGCGCGAGCCTAGGCGCAAGCGTACCACCACGCCTCGCTTTGTGCATGATAGATTAACTTTTCCCCTTTTTGCCGGATTAGCGCGCCGCCAAGGAAATACTAAAAGCATGCTAAGTGTAGAAGCTTTTTTTTAGAAGCTTTTGACTAAGATCACGTAGTGGGTATTCTGTGGCAAGGTTTGCGGAGACGGCGCTGGGGGCGGCGGCTCTCGTGGCTCCCGGCATCGAAGAGCCGACCAACACCGCTTCCGGTAGCAACGAGGACGAGGACGAGACACCCCTTGATCCTGTTGTGGTCATCTCGAACGATAAGAGCACCGAGTTCTTTCTGGCCACTGTCGTCGAGGAAGCAGCGTAAGAATTCAATCAAATTTATCCCTAGACTGTGGATATAGATTCAATTAATATCGTAAAAAATTATATCTTTATACGTCACAATGGTAGATCATTCGGGAAATAGAATTAAAAATTTTTACGTGAAAATCTATTCGAGAAAATCGTGCCATTGAAAACGCTTTTTCATCCATTCCGATATCTCGATCGGTTACCGAGATGCGAGGATTTAAAGTTTTCGTAGTATTTAAGATGGTGGGAAGATTACGAATGGCTCGCGTCCTATATTTCTTCTTGGAAATGTACACTGTTTCCAGGAATCGCGTCTGGAGTTTGAGATAAGTCAGCGAGAGAAGGCGCGAGTGAGAGATCCGAGTAAACGATAAGGAGGAAGATAGTAAACGATTAAAAATTAGGTTTTTCTTTACACGACGATATCTCGGGAACGGGAAGTTGTATCGAGATGAATAAAAAAACATTTTAAAGGGTAAGATTCCACGCTTCTAATGATCGTTCACTCGTTGACCGGAAGTTAGTATCTTCAGAGTTATAGCGGTTTAAAGTTTTCCGAATTTTAATAAGATATAATCGGGTTTAAAATAAATAGTTGAAAATTAGTTTTCCATTACACGACGATATCTCGGGAACGGGAAGTTGTATCGAGATGAATAAAAAAACATTTTAAAGGGTAAGATTCCGCGCTTCTAACGATCGTTAACCGGAAGTTAGTATCTTCGGAGTTATAACGTTTCAAAGTTTTCCTAATTTTAATAGGAAATTTAATCAAAGGAGATTAAGCTATATAAATTTATTATTGGATATCGCTTAGAATGATTTTACTAATGGCTTTCGCAAAATTCTTTGCTTAAAGTAAATTGAATCTTTATTTAATTATATTGAGGTTTATAATTATATCGATTAATCAAACGAATTTTGTAGATTATATAATTTTTGGACATTTAGGTAGCTGCGCATCCTATATCTATATAAAAAAGATATAATATGAGAAATATATATTTGCCTGAAAATCCAGCAGTCTATTTATCTCTCCATTCCTTTCTTTCTCTCTCTCTCTCTCTCTCTCTCTTTTATATAAATCCTTCGTACCTAATTTCCTCTTCCTCACCCGAGAATTTCTAATTAATGAATTTCACCGCGTGATAAGTCCAAGCAAAAACGTATAACAAGGGTTAGAACGAAGTTAAAAATGTTCTTGGCAGAGGGTAAAAAGAACGGGCCGATGTGGATCCGTTTTTCTGGACGAATGAAGAGAATGGCGAGACGCGGAGGCGTTGAAACTTTGCCGGGCAAATTAACGAGAGTGAAAAAAAGAAAAAAAAAAAAAGAAAAAAAATAATAATGAACAAGGACAAAGGGGTGGATGGAATCAATTAGCATTGAAAACGGGAGGCGTAACATTGGAGGAAAAAAAGGAAGGGGAAAATACTATTTTTCCGTTCATCAGGAGGAAATGAATTTTCGGTTAGAAGTTTGGACGGAGCGGAGTTGAGACGATCTAAAGTTCCATCTTAATTGGTTAGATCTGCGAATTAAGATAGCATCGGTTCTTATTTGCCGGTGTTTTATGTCGAAACGCCGTCTTCCTTTCAAAATTCCTCGGGTCACCGACTAATTGCCCCTTTATCTTCCATTGAACGAGATAGGGAGATCTCGGCAGGGAGGACGTTAAACTTACGAAACGAGAGATGGAAAATTGGAATCATATATTTGCCTGCGTAAAATTGGACGAAAGGAAGGGTTGAACTTTTTTTTTCTTTTTTTTCTATATATATATATATATATATATATTGGCCACGGAGTCGATAATTCATTGGCGTAAAGAATTACTGCGCCGACACATTCGATAAAAATAGGAAGAAAACACCGATAAACTCGGTCCACTGTGAAATCGATTCGTTTGTTTGTGGAACGTCCACTGGTCCAGCAAGTTGGAGTAGTAACCAGTATTGATTGAACGCGGAAGACACGTCGCCTCGATCGATAGCTTAACGATAACAAAACGTAAGTGAGTAAAAAGGAAAAAGCTTGGGATAGTATATAGTTCCCCGTACACAATGAAAATGGGTAACGAATGGGAAGAAGGGATTGTAAATGATTCGATTTCTTTGGTTGGCTGCGTTACGGACGAGATACCAATATGGCCGCGTATCTATTTTTGATTAATTCTTACATTTCAATTTTGTCAAAATATAAATTAACGTCAAATTAACAATTAATCGATGATATACGTAATTTCCATTATAATTAATGTTTATCCATTCGTATCCAATAACGTATACTTTGACTTGAATTGAAAAATTTGAAAGAAAATAAAAAGTTCTGAAGCAAGAAACGAATACTTAATTAACTTTATCACTTTTGTAACGAAACACAGAATCATCGTAAATCTCTTTCTTAATAATTCCACGATCAAAATACACTTCATAAAATGTAATCAATTGTTACGAGTACGGAATATCGCATTCTATTTTTCGGAAAAATAAATCGACGCGAAAAGAGTAGCGTTACAGCGGATGCCCAATGATAACCCAATGTAACGCGATGATAATACCGATATACATACCGGCTAATCGTACGATCGATACGTACGGCGTATCGTGGGAATGGTGGTGGTCCACGCAGCGAGATGTCTTTGAGACTAATCGCCGAGAGCGTTTCCATCGACGGTGCAAGCAAGTTTAATTACATGGACGGGTTTGTTGTTTGGCCGTACATGGCCAATGGATGGTACGTTAATGCACGCGGCGGTAGCTCATTGTTCGATCGGTTTCGAATGAAACGCCGCGCGTGTGTCGTTTCGTTACGAGAAGTAATTTCACGCGAACCTACAGTTACACGATCAGACTCGCCTCGAAGCAGTACCTGTAGGACGGGCGATGGAACCGGATAGAAACAACTCTGGCTACACAACTATGCTTTACACTCGGAGTCGTTCTTCTACCCACTCGAGCGGTCAAACCAATATTAAATTTCGATTTCACTACAAGTTTCTGTTTCAATTTTCGTTATCCAATTTATACCCGGATCTCGATCGATCCGAATATATCGAACGGTAAGAGCTCCCTCACGGTCGTACACAAAGCAGAAATTCGAAATACTAAATTCGAGTACGCCAAACAATCTCCATCACGATGCAAGTAATGGAGGCAAACTTGCTTCCCTCGAGGCAAGTTTCATTGTGCAGTAGAGTATTCTACTATTCCTCCACAGAAGATGGCAAGAAAAGTATAATAATATAAAATATACTATTGCACATCCTTCCTTCGCTTCCCATCTTTCCTTGAACCAATAGTGTATCCCCATAATATTAATATTAATTGTCAACAAAATATTATATAACAAAATATTATATATATATAATTTACAAGAATCCTATTGCTACATCTTTTCATGGACTTGCCATGTAGCTTAACGATACAAGAGATACCCTCCAGAGTCCAGAGTAAATACGAATATGGACGCGGCGAGATGTGGGCGCTACCGATACTCGAATTGCAGTTGTCGTTTCAGCGCAGTGGCTCAAGCACAACTGGGTGGAGAACGGCAGAAGGGAAGAAAGGATCCTGGATACGACGGTGCGGCGAGCACCGCGGTGATACACGAACCGGTGGTGGAGACGAACTCGAGCCCGAGCCCGAACCCGCGGATCGCTTCGGCCCCGTCGTCCTCGACTTCGTCCTCGCCGCCTGCCAAGGGCGCGGCCGCGACCGGCCAAGCCTCGCAGACGAAGAGGAACGGCGGCGAAACGAACAAGCAGGAATTGAAGAGGCTGAAGAGCGCCGTCTCCCTTCTCCCTCTTCCGCTCGCGCGCACGCCGAGCGTGATGTCCGCCTCGTCCACCTGCAAGAAGGACAAGAAAAATGCCGGCTCCGGATCGCGTTTCACCATATACAAGGCGAACAAGGCGAGCAAGAAGAAACGGGAGAAAAGCTCGGCGAAGAAGGAGCGCAAGGCCACGAAAACGTTGGCCATTGTTCTTGGTATGTCCGATTTTGGTGGGGGAGTTTTGGTGGGAAAACGAGTTTACTTACGAGTTGAAGAATAAAGTTGCTCGAATAAATTGTTATTCGATTTTTTTTTCTAATTTATTTATCTACTTATTTTTATAACAGTTCGTTAATACTTAATTCTACAGTTGATGAATCTATCAGTGCAGTGACTTCTTTATTGGATTTTCATGATTTTCTTCCTTTCAGTTGCAAAGACATATTTCGAGATATTATGAAACTTCGTGAGGATGTCACGCATAGATAAATTGTCATCTTCGATTTCTTTTTTTTTTTTTTTGTTTTTGTTTGTTTATATACGGAAGAAATTTGTTTCACGTTTACAGGTGTATTTCTGATCTGTTGGCTGCCGTTCTTCACGTGCAACATCATGGACGCGATTTGCACGAAGCTGACTGCCGACTGTCAACCAGGCGTCACCGCATTCATAGTGACCTCTTGGCTAGGGTACATGAACAGCTTCGTAAATCCCGTGATTTACACTGTGTTCAATCCGGAATTTCGCAAAGCCTTTCATAAACTTGTCAGCTTCTAGGCGTATCTCGATTTCGTTTTATCAAGTCACGTTTTATCTTGAGTGATATGGAGGAACAACAACGAGACAATTGGACAATCGAACAGCTCAACATTTGTTCCGGCTGAAGGTATATATGTATATATATATATATATATATATATCTTTTCGTAATCGTGCCCTTCGATTCTTTTGTAGATGGACAATACGAGAACGAGATCGTTTTCTCTTGATTGTAATAAAAACGAAAAAAAAAAAAAATAGCGAAATTAAAACAAAAAAAAAGATTAAAACGCGACGCGATGAATCGATCGTGTGCGAAATTGAGCCAGAATCGAAGCTTTTTATGAAGGATAGAATTACATCGTCGTGCACTTTTTACTCGTCCTTTTGTCGAAAGATCATCGTTAATATTCCTCTCACCGGCACTTTATCATCGTCCACCATCCTCGCCGCGAGATCATTTCGTTCGATATCGATACCGGAGGCGATGTGCATCGATGTTAGAGCTGAATTACCAAATAAATATTTAAGCTAACGATAAGTATAGATATATCGGAGGATTAAAAAAAAAAAAAAAAAAAGAAGGAACGAAGTCACCGTGTTTTAAAGCGCGATGTATTGTTAACTGCGTCGAACGCGTCGAGAAATTTGCGTTTCCCTGCCATTTCGAGCGACTCTGGCTTCGTATAAATAACATAAATAAAGAACACGAGAGTTTAAAGAATAAAAGGAGCGATAAACATCAGGTTAAAGCGTAAAATCGATGGAAGACGTGTTTGATGAGCAAATGATGTATATATATATATATGATGTATATATATATATACACCTTGTTGGATATAAATTATACCGTGGCAGTATTATCGTAGCTCGTAAGGTATAGAGAAATTTTTTTTGGCTGAAAAAGCGGAGGAACGGAAGCACCAGTTCTACGGCATACTGTTACGCGTCTCTGTACACCTGCGCGTCGCGCAGTCTAATCCCACGCCTTTGTACTATGTACGATTTATCCGGTTGAAGCGCCGGATCTATCCCGTAATCGTTTCGTGATTCGAGATTCGTCGTTCCGTCGTTTTTCGCCCTTCTGAAACGAGATCGGAGGAACAAGTTTCCGAACGAAACGAAAGTCTCGAGTGCAATTTTACCCGAATTTTATAAATCCGTCGAGGCAACGGTTGCGCATTACGATATCGTCGGGAACGTGTTTTTCGAATTCTAGAAAATTGATTCGCGCGAACGGGGAAAGGAATCGAGTCTGTCGAACGTGTCCATGATCGAATCCACGATGCCATTTCCTTCGAGGTTTCCTTCGCCACCGTTCCAGCGGTGCGCCCCCCTCCCCCCCCCCTCGTCGTATTCTGACCTAAATCCCTTAAGAAATCATTTATTATCTATTTCTGTTAATATCGTAACGATAAGGAAATCTAACTCTTCTCTTAATATTTCCTTTTTCTTTTTTTCTTAATCAAAAGAATAATTATGAAATGTATGTACACGTTCCTTTTCTTTTTCTTTCTTTCTTTCTTTCTTTTGTATATGCACATTTTCTTTAAAATTATCGCTTAGAAAATTATTATTTAGCATTAATTCCATTCTCAACTTTGAATAAATCATAATTTTCAAATATTCATAACAATTCGATCACCTATTATATTCTTATACGAGTTTCGTAAATACTTATTTTCTGAACTCATGTACACTGCTCAAGTCTTCGACACTTTCCAATAGTCTATTAAAAAAAATTCGCAATTCCGGTGAAAACCACTTCGCCTCTCGAAGTGACGGAACGAGATTATTAGCTCTCTTCGATCTATCGATCATCCCTCCCCCACAATGCCATTCGTTCCAGATACTAATTAAGATTTATGTATTGTCTTTGGAACGTTGGTGAAACGAAAATCGATAGAGGGAAGGGAATCCGCCGGCACATTCTCCTTCTATCCCGCCTCCAAGAGGCCAGGAAGGGGTCCCTCCTCCAAAGATAAACATCGTGTACTTAGGTGACGCGTTCGACAGAATGGAAAATCGAGATAGACGCGTCAGAAGCACCTGTACCGGCTCCGTTTCACGTCCCATCTCCACCAACGTCTGCAAAGTTTCCGGCGTCCGAATTTTCAAACATATCAATACAAGCATGACAGGTAATATACACGCTGGTCGAACATATGCTGCGCGAGATACGATCAGAAAGGAAACGTTTATCGAATTATTTATCTGAATTATTTATTATTCATGTTGGAACATCCGCGATTGAATATTATATTGCGATTACTTTCGAAAAGGAACAAGTTTTGTTATGCATTTACGAACATTTAAATCCCTATTTTTGATCAATTAAATCGTTTGTAAGTCCCATCAATTCTTGGAAACGGGATCTCAGGGAGCTTCGAACGAAACTTGAAACCAAACCAATCGTTTCGATACGATTGTATGCGAAATGTACGTGCAGGGTAACATCTCCTCTCCTCGTTTCACTCGAATCCCCAAAACTTCTCGCTTAATCTTCTGTATTTCAGCCGCTTAAAACGTGCAATATTGTGTAATTATTATTCGATGAAGAAATAGCTTTACAGTGACGACGTTTATTATGATAAATTCTTTCCATTTCTGTTGAATATTATAATCGAAGAAATGGGATGATCGTATCGATGCGAAAAGTGATTTCTTTTTGATCGCATTTCGCGAACGCGCAAGATGGACTACGCGAAAACGGAAAATACCGGAACACGCGTGTGTTAACGCAAAAGGAAACACGGTTGTTTCGTGCGTTTGAGTCCCGCGATTCTGCAATAACTACAATCAAAGCTTTTTATTCTTATCAGTTTCTGTGAATGCGTTGTATAACTTTAAAACCTTCCAATGTATATTTGTACATAATTAGTAATAATATTAACGAACTGATCGAACTGTGCAATCGGTTTGTAAAGCGATACGTGCGAATAGAAGATACGCGATCGCCTGCTAACAAGGAGTACGTAAGTGGATGGGAATCGTTTATGGGATGACATTACACGAATTCTAATACTACCTGAATACTATTAATGAAACGTTGATAAAAAAATTGTCAAAGTGGAACTTCGAGAGGAATTTAAAATTCCGCACGATTCTCCCTCTCATTTTGCAAAAATAATGGAATAATACCAGTTAATAGAGGAGGCCAGTGAGCAAAACATCTTTTACCAAATATATTTCAACTAAATAGAAATGCAAACTTGAACGTATCCAAAGTTACTTAAACCGCAACACGAGTTAAAGAAGCAGAGTCCATGCAAAGTTTCGGATCAAGATGTTTCGAATGAACATGATTTCACAAGGAAACAACAACAAGATTTCGCAAAGTTAGTTTCGAGCAGAGAGGGATTTTTCTCAATCAAGATTCACTTTCATTCCCTTCTTTAAGGCGCGATTTATTACATTCGATTCGCGCCGTTTATTATTCCAGAAACGATGACCATCCGCTCTCGTACACATTCCTCGTAAGACCTAGATACACCGCAATTACTAAACACTAGGGACAAAGCTAGTACGCATGTAAGTGCTAGGCGAAATCTTTAGGGAAACTTTTTTCTCGATGAATTGTGATAAAGCTAGGTTTTGTTACGTACCTTTTACCCCGAATTATCCCATTTCAAGATTAAATTTCCACGTAATAATTTATGATTATGAACTCGCACGAATCGTCGCCGATCTTTCACCCTTTTTTCTATCCCCTTTTTCCAATCTTTTCGTCAAAATCGATCGACAAGAATGAAATTTCCATCGAGGAGGGAGCGCGATGGATTAACCATTTATCGCGTTTCGATTCGCATCGAATCTCTTAATTCACGCCTAACCCTTTAAACTGAAATCTCTTAAAGCCCCGTCAGTTGAATCCATTTCGTTACAGCGAATCCTCGTCGTCAGAATCGACCAAATTTCTGTCCTTTAATAATGGCGCGACAAACTTTCCCTGCCATCGGCCAACATTTAAATTCGATTCGACAGATGGCGCTGCGGTGTCACTTTTACGGTGAGAGTAAAAGTTCTATAGCGTCTCTCTCGAAAATTAGTTTTCGCCAGAAGTAAACGCTAGATAGTATTAAGATTTATTAAGAAGTATTGATTTTTAAAAAAAAAGCAATTTTTCGAAAAAATTTTACTCTCGAATATGTTGAAAATACGTTTGAAAAACTTTAAAATTTTCTCTCGAAGGATTTTCGCAAGTACAACATTGAGATAGAAACATTTATCCAATAATAATTTTAAAATAAAAGTGTCTATCAACGAAAAATAATTCTAGACAATTTTCCAGAGTTTTAAATGTATTCGTATCATTACGCCATCGCAGAGATCATTTTTTCAAAGAATAAATCCAATATCAGGATCGGATTATTAATTGGATTATTAATTATTAAATTTCTTGTCCTTCGTTAAGGCGAAAAATCGGCGATTCCTCAATACCACGAAATCATTTACCGATCTCCTTATTCTCTTACTTTCTTTCCTTTTTCTTCTTCTTCTTCTTATTATTATTATTATTTTCTTTTGTTTTAACCGCGCGAGAAAATTCTCGAAACGACGACCAAAGCTTCTTTCTTTAAGCACCTTTACGCTCAACTATTGTATTCAAAACAAGAAGAACAATTAAGGCAAAGCGTATTTATCACGTCGAGCGAAGCTCAACAAACAGCCTAGCGGATTGTTTTAACGCAACGCACTTGATAAACGCATTATAAAAGTTTTCTTACAATCCTGCTAAGATCGCTCCGTATTTTTCTAACCCTTCCTTCTTCTGTACATAAACGTGTATGCACGATACACGATACGAGAGATATCTGTACTCTTCGACTTGCTTAGTCAAAGTGTCTCCTACGTAGCGTTTCTTCATTCTTCAGGAATATTTAAATTGTAAAAAAAAAATCTTTTACTTTCTTAATTATCAGAAAAAAAATTTACCGATTCTCCAATCTCTTTTAAAAGTTACTTTTAAAAAAATCAAGTTTTTGTGAATTTCGTAGATATTTAAGAAATGAAGATATCATTGGAAAGGGGATAATAATAAAATCTTAAATTTCTCTCTTTTTTTTTGATATTTCGAAATGCTGCGTGCGAGACATTTCAACTAAGGGAAACAGTATTGTAACGAGAGTAT